CACAGTTGAAGGGGATACAGTCCATCATGGTGGAAAGTCAAGGCGGCAGGAGTGGTAGGCAGCTGGTCACATGACATCCACAGTCAGAAAACAGCACTGATCGCTGGTGCTCAGTACCTGTCCTCGTTTTTATTCAGTCCAGGTCCCAGACTATACAGTGGTGCCATCCACATTTACAGCGGCTCCTCCTACCTCAGACAACCCAATCTAGACATGCTCAGAGGCTTGTCTCCTAGGTGATCCTAGAACCTATCAAGTTGTCAGCACTAACCAGCATGAAGACAAAAGCATGTCTTTCAATACAGGATACTAAGCATAGTATAGGCTTGTCTTCAGGTTACGAAAACTCCTAAATTTCCTTTCCAGTCCTGCAGTCTAGGAACCTGTGTGTGCGCGCTATGACATGGTTTTCTAACAGAAGCCAGTGTTTTAAAATGCAAGGTGCTAGTTTTTCTTTAATTGGGCTTCTAAGAGATACAGAAATAAACTAACCTCTGAAGGATCTCACAAATAACAGGGAGGGAGGGGAACCCATCCCTCTCTCTGGAACAGGATAGCACCTAGTCTCCAGCACCACCTTTTGTCCCTCTTGGGTCCTTAGATTCTAATGTTCCCATTCTATTTCCATCCAACTAGACGCAAATATCCACACTGAAGGTCAAGCCTCAAAGTCCACAACCCACAAAGCCCTCCCTAGACCACATCGGTCTATGACTGACTTTACCCATCCTTTGCCATCTTACATCCCTCTGGTTCTTAGTCTATAACCTAGCACTTCATGACATGTTGTTTGATATCCTCCTCGAGTTCATTTATGCAAACATTATACCCCTATTCTCACACAGCTGCACCTACCAGGAGGGTCTGGAATGGGATGCTCTAAGTAGATACAACCCAAATATGTGAAGAGATCCAAATTCCCCTCCACTCGAATTATAAAATAAGAAAATCATGGTCTCAATGGCACCCAGTGAGAAAGAAGTAGCAGCAGAAAACTGAAAGAGATAGCAAGGCGTGATAAAAAGTGCCCACATAAGCCCGAAAGGCTGCCGCTCCCACCTCAGAGCACCCAGCAGGGGTAGCAGGGCCCCCCCTTCCCTGTGGTTCACCTCGCATTCTGAATTCACACCCCTGCCTACTGCTATCACTGTGCCCTTTGCAGAGTTCCAACTTGCCCTAAAGCAGTTGTGACATTTTAGTGGTGGGGGAGGCTACTCCTCTGTAGAGGGTGTCTCGTTTGAGAATGCAGTTCTTGGAAGAAAGACACTATTTAAAAAGAACACCATTCTTTCGACAACCCCACGGAACTGAGAAAACGAGGGAGAAACCGAAAAGTCAAGTTCAACCCAGTGCCAATTCTTGGGAAGCGTGGAAGTACAGCATCCTGTCTCAAGACAACCATCACCCTTTACTAGGACCGATTCATTTCATGCTTTCAATAGGAATATAACAGCTTGATTTTTTTTGGAATAACAGAAAAGTAAATAAAGAAGTAAGATTAGCTACTTATTTTTAGTATTATTTTTATTAATATTTCATGTTTCCCTAGTTGACCAGGAACTTACTATATAAGCTAGGCTGGCCTTGAACTTGCAACAATCCTCCTGAATAAATATCGAAGAATATTATCTTAAGGTGTGTTATATTTGTTTCTGCTCTGGAACATTTGTTTAATGATGTAAAGATGTGTTGCTTTTTTATAATTCATTTGTTTAATTCTTTGAAGCTGTGGTTCTTTGCCTGTCTAAACACCTAATGGTCTAATAAAGAGTTGAACGGCCAATAGCGAGGCAGGAGAAAGGATAGGCAGGGCTGGCAGGCAGAGAGGATAAACAGAAGTATAAATGAGGAGGAACAGAGAAAAGAATAGCAAGAGAACAAGGAGAGGAGGACCCTGGGGGCCAGCTACTCAGCCGCACAGTCAGCCATGTAGTAGGAGTGAAAGTAAGGTACGCGGAAGTAAGAAAAGGAAAAGCCCAGAAGCAAAAAGTAGACAGAATAATGAAGTCAAGGAAAGCTGGATAGAAATAGGCCAAGCTAAGGCTGGGCATAGATAAGAAAGAATAAGACTCCATGCATGATTTATTTGGGGGTTGGGTGGTGGGCTCCCCAAAAGAGTGAATAAAGAGTCAAAAGATAAAATAACAACCAACAACAAATAAGCTTTCCAAATAATGGATACAGGTATAGCTAGAACAACAAACTCTTGGGAAAGGATTCCTTAATATGAGTCCTGGGATAACATGCTTGAATGTAAAGGTTGAGACACGATTTCTCTGTGTAACCTTAGCTGTCCTGGAACTCTCTATAGATCAGGCTGGCCTCAAATGCTCAGAGATCCACCTGTCTCTGCCTCCTGAAGGCTGGAATTAAAGGTGTACACCACCACTGACTGGCAAGTTTTAGATCTTAAGTAACCAGTACAGGTGAAGAACTTTCTGGTAATAGGCCAAAGTACTGCATAGCACAGATAACAACTTTCACACATGAACACACACATGTGCACATACATGTGCACACATGCACAGAGATGGGGAGGGAGACAGATGATAGATAGATAGACAGACAATAGGTAGACGGTAGATACATAATAGATAGATATAGATAATAGATAAATAAATAGATAGATAGATAGAGAATAAATAATAGCTAGATAGTAGATATATAGATAATAGATAAATAGACAGATAGATAATAGATAAATAATAGATAGCTAGATAGTAGATGTATAGATAATAGATAGATGATAAATGATAGATAATAAATAGATAACAGATAGATAGTAGATATATAGATAATAGATGATAGATAGATGGATAGATGTAGATAGAGAGAGATAGAGAGAGAGAGATAATAGATATAGACAGACAGATCCACCTAGAAAATAATGGAGTAACTTCTATCAAGTGGAAGAATTTGAAGTACTACAGATCAGAGCATAAATATCACTCACTATTGTCAGCACTCAAGTTTGCTCAACTAGAAATTAATCTTAACTAGGAAAAAAATGTTGCAATGAGGGCCCTCTTGTTTGTCCCAGCCGCCTGGTTAGCTTAGCTCCAAAATAATCACACAGAAATTGTATTAATTAAATCACTGCTTGGCCCATTAGCTCTAGCCTCTTATTAGCTAACTCTCACATCTTGATTTAATCCATTTCTATTAATCTGTATATCGCCCCCTGGCAATGGCTTTCCGGGAAAGATTCAGCATGTTTGACTCTGGTGGCTCCATGGTGTCTCTCTCCTACTCCACTTCTCTTCCTCCCAGAATTCAGTTCTGTCTTCCCCGCCTACCTAAGTTCTGCCCTATCAACTAGGCCAAGGCAGTTTCTTTATTCATTAACCAATGAAAGCACACACAAACAGAAGGACTCCTACACCAAAAAAAGACACAAGAGAAATAAACCCAGGCTAGCCCACAAGTTTGGACCTGTCCTCTGAGGTTGCCTAGCATCGCTCTGGCTATGGGGAAGAAAGGCTAGATGGTTGCCTTTCCTTTGGAGTTCCCCTTAAGAGGACATGCAGACTCCTGAAATCACATGATTTATTTCATATCATGGATGCCGCTTCTCTTAAAATAAATCACTTTTGGGGGTATGTAATCACTTAAGAATGAAGGAAATCTAGAAAATGCTCCCGAAGAACACAGAGTGGGGAGCAGAATGGCTCATTTTCCCTGAAAAGCAAGCCCAGCCCTACAGTGTCTAACTATCTGGGGGTTTCTAGTTTAAAAGTAGGAGCAGACGTGAACATTTATCTCACTAGTTAAGATCTCCCCTCCTGGGAGCAGAACTCAGTATCCCAATCCTGCCGCTTTGTAAGGTGTCCCCAGAGGTGGTGACAAATCCAAAGTAAAACCGCAGTCCAGGAGGTGAGACCGAGCATTTGTCTGGGACACGACACTTGGTGAAGATGTGACATCTGAGTCTCGGTCACGGAGCATGCGAGGCTGAGGTGAACGACATTCTCATATGGCTGATAGAAGGACGGCACTATCGGGTACAGTGTGTGGGTGTGGCCAGGAGCCACCGCATGTTGAGGGGAGGAGGTGGGAAGCAAGTTTACCTTCAGACCAAATCTTCTGAGGAGCTGGAGAGGAAACCTCAACAATTT